TCTTCATTACATTTCCAGTTCAATATGTTGAGCTGGTTAGTGTACTATTGCAGGTCTGGGGAGGCCTTTCAAGTCATTGCAAGAAAGATGCGGTAGAAGCAAACTAAGATGGTCAAGTTACCCAGAGGCACTGGTAAAGACGAGTCCCTGGGATCCTTTAAGAAAGCTGGATCAGAAAGGTTTTAATGACCAATCAAATGAGATGACCTCCTCCGACTCCTAATTTCCCACCACTTCCTAACATTAAAGCATGCATAAAGACTTAACTTTCACATTTCAAAAAAGATAATGACACACTTATGTAGGTCACTAAAAATACCAATGTACAATAGCAGCAAAGATTGTTGTATTTTTAAGACTTTCTACAAAGAAACATACAGATAAATATTATCATTGTGATTTTGATAGTTTTTTTGCGCCCAGTTTTCTGAATGAAATAAAGAGGTTTAAAGGTCGAAACCTTGTGTTTAAGAAGGGGGGTACAGAAAGAGTTTTTCCAGCTGCTCAAGCAAGAGTTCATAAGAGCTCGGTTTTCTGCTTTTAGCTTCCCCTTTTCTATATTCCTGCAGTTTCCAGGAATTTAGAAAAAGGGAAGCTAATTTTGCAGTGGAGCAAAAATATTGTTCATTATCCAGATCACAACTTCAAAACATAAAACATCCATCGATTATTCTGGTTCAGGGGCACTCCAACCTGGGGGGTACTTTAGAAGAATAAGGGTCTGAGTAGGAATACATTCTGGACAGGAGGCCAGTCCATTGCAGGGGATACAAATAACACAGGAACATTTTACATATGCCAATTAGCCTAGCTGGTATATTGTAGGAATGTGGGAGAAAGAACATGCAGAAAAGAGAACATGCAAACTCGTCACAGAAGGCCCCCCAAGTCAGAATCACAGGGGTTCAGAGGAGGCAGCTCAAACAAAACCAAACTTCAAGGGTTCTAGACCAGTGGTTCTCAAACTTTTTTGGGTCCCGGAACAAATGGATGTTAATGGTGCTGTTTACGGAACACCAAGAACAGCTGGACATTTCTATACCATCATAAGAGGCAGAAACAGTATCACTAGTGAGAATCCTCCCGCCTGGTGTTCGTGGGTGTTCGTGTTTGTGCACCACTTGGTAATTGTATGCGAAAGAACTGAGTTGGTCAGATCAGAAGTAGTAACCAAACTTGACTGAATCCAACACATGTGCAAGAGCTTTTATCAGTGGTTTGGATTGTTTCACACTCATACTTTATGGTTTGGTGAACATGTCAAAATCCGGTGCCTGGTGAGGTTCAGATATAGATTGCGGAGTCAGGAGGAGTGATTTTTTGCTTTTGTCTAAATTCTTTTTTTTCTGAGACTTTTTGGTGCCTGGAATGGCGCAGTGCACCTCTTGGTATTTGTATCCCAAAACTAAGTCGGTCGGATCAAAAGTTGTAACCAAACATTATAGAAGAGCTTTTATCAATGGTTTTGCCACAACCAATGACTGGAGGGCTTCAGATATTGATTGTGGAACTGTTCGTTTGAAACCCCAGCTAGGGTTAGGGTTAGCATTCTCTCACTACTTAGACAATTTTTACGCTCAGCTCTGAATTCTGGGGCCCAAGTCAGCTTTAGGATGAGTGATTTTTTGCTACTATCTGAAATTTCTTTTCAGATGCTCCAGCGTCCAGGGGTCGAACGCGCTCATGAGGGAAAAAACTTGTGCCGGGTGCTCACACCAAGGAAGGCTCCACAGCTGAAACGTTGTGTTTCCTTTCTTCTCTTTTCAGCAGGGAATAAACCTTTTGTTCCTTTGCAGCCGATGCATGCTGACGCAGCTCCCTACTTGAACTACTTACTACAAAATTATGGATTTAAAAACATCTTGAGTATGTAGTCCTATCATGTGTTCTTTTCATCTTGAATGTCTCTCCTCAAAAATGAATGAAGCTTTTATTAAACTTGGTCTGCTCCTCTACGGCACAGTACAGTTTTGGAAAAAGAACTTTTTCCAAAGAGAGAGAAGGATGAAAAGTTTCTCACGACGTTTCCCAGAACTCATGGGAAAATAAAATATGAACTCCATGAAGTACAAATCAGCACGTTTTGAACTTTGGGAGGAAACTGGAGCAGCTGAAGGAACCTCAAGTGAATACGGGGAGAATATAGACACTCCACACAGATAGCACCCCAGGTCCGGCATTGATACCAGGGCCTCAGTGCTGGCAAGGCACCACTGCACCATCGTACCCCCCTCCTACCTCAGTCATTTGCGATTTATTTTTAATTTAGATATTCTTTCCTCTGAATCTAATTATTAATTATAAATAATTATAAATAATAATAGCATTTAAATGTATTTTTCAATTCAGTTATGTCTATGAAAAGAGGAACCAGTTTTGTGCTGCCATAGAATTAGACCGGATATTATTGTTCTGGCTCGTATTATGAACCAGCCATCAAAAAAAAACGAATGAAAACTACATTTCCCATGATCCCACGGCATGCCGGCAGTTCCTGTTTGCGCCCGCGCACGCTCTGTACTGTATTTGTACCTGGTTGGTTGGAGATGTTTGGAATGAGCTTTCACGGGGGATGAGGTAATGAATTTTTGTCTTTCTTTGTATTTTTTTTCATGTTAATGTGTTTGTGTTACACAATTATGTATAGGGGGTAAGCATTTTCTGGGTGTGAGTCGGGTTCATTTATTATGGGATGCGTGTTGTGTTGCTTAAACTTTCGATCAAGACCGTCAACAGTGAGGTGTAATTTTATATAGTTTTTTTTAAAACAGACAGGCTTGTAACAAGGCAGTTGTTTAGAAAACTCAATACATATAAGATGTAAAGTAGCTAAATATGAAACATTGTGCTGAGGCTGTGCTAAATAAATTCTTGCGTGACATTTTAGATTTGCTCCATTTTGCACTCTGCACAAAAACGCATTTAGTAACAAAAACGCTTTCGTATTTATTTTCAGTTAAATCCGATTGCCCTTCAGACAAAAGGATTGAAACGCCTGGCTCTGAAATTATTCCGACTTCATTCTCTGTTAACATTTATACATCCTTTCACTTGGGAAAGGAAAACATTTAGACGCAGATCTCTGATTTTTTCTATGGAGACTAGCTTCCGTTCGACAGAGCGCACAAATAAATACATTTAAAACAACCACTACACCACAGCGGGAATAAAATATATCGAAAGCAGCTCTGCACTCGATAGTAACACCCTGGTGTACCGCAGTGACCCCAAAACCTAGATGCTACTGATGTTGTGTGGAGAGGAGGGTTGATGACCCACATAGTGCTTCAGTTCAAACTAACCTCGAAAACATACTGGAGTCTTAATATAGCCGTCGGTATTGCCAAGGGCGATGTGCTGTACGTAAAATCTGTCGGTATTGACGTGACTCTTCCTGTTTCTTGATTTATTTCGTTGGTGATAAATATACTGATGGGAAAAAATAAATTCAACATTTTCCGGAATGAGAATGCTATAGTTATAGCTTATGTACTTCCACAAAAGGTTGTCAATTTGTTTTAAGCCCTCTGACCAGCCATTCAGCTTGTGCAGTGAGGCATTGCGACTTGCCAATCACACGAAAGCTCTTTAGGTGCGCTTCTACCCACGAGGTCCAGGTGGAACAATGCCTGATCAGGTCACCTTTAAAAAGGCATTAATTCACAGCTTAGGAATTGTAAGAAAAAGGCCAGACTTAGTCAGTTTTCTGTGCCTTCCATAATGCCTCGAATGTCACCAGAAGCAAGGGAGAGGGCCATTGGGATGCTGCAGGCAGGCATGTCTGTGCCAGCGATGACAGACACTATGGAGTAAGACGCTCCACTGTGTCCCGACTGCAGAGATGGTTTCAGCAGACCGGCAGGACAGATGACCGTCCAAGATCCGGTCGCCCTCGAGTGACCACCCCAGAGCAGGACCGACACATCAGACTGGTCCATCTGAGAGATGGTTTCAGATCTGCCACCCGTACTGCTGATGAAACTGCTGGCAGACACGATGCCCGCATCAGTGACAGGACAGTGAGGCTCCATGCTGCTGACCTTAGAGCAAGGCGACCTCTCAGAGGCCTTCTGCTCACACCTCCTAGACGTCACACCCAACTGGCTTGGGCCAGACAGAGGCTGTGATGGACTCGTCAGCAGTGGCATCAGGTCCTCTTCACGGATGAGTCACTCTTCAGCCTGTCCCACGCAGACAGGAGGGCCAGAGTGTGGAGGAGGGGGTGTTACATTTCTTTTTTCCATCACTGTAGCATTTACTTACGATCCACCTGTCATGTTAAGTGGATTAAGATTTTCTGGAATGAAATATTCTATATAAATCAACCAGATTATTATTTATTATAATTATTAAGCCTTACCGCAAGTGCGCGTACTGGAAGAAGCTCACAGTTGAGCTCCTGGGGGAAAACTGGACTAGGCGGGGTTAACTTGTTCCGCTGGCCTGACAAAGCTAATATAGCCCCCCTCTAAACTCGGTTAACTCGTATTGTTTCGTGACAAACGACAGTTCTTAGATGCCGTGCCTGTGGTTAAGTCATCCTCTTGAGCAAGGGCGTGTTTTTCTCTGGAAAGGAGAGAGGTCAGTAGCAGGCTTTGAGCACGGCATGCTCCCTGCACAGCACGATTCGAGGTCTCCGTTCTCCGTGCCAGTCTCAAATCCCCTTTCTAGTGCTGAACCCACAGATTTTATCTGTATGAAGTCGATGTTGAGGTTTCTGATGTTGCTTCCCAATAATCATCAGTCTAACACGTGCGTTTTACTTATGTGTGGGGTGGTGCTCGCCTAGTAACTCTATACTGGGTAGTATTAAGGAAGGTGGCAAACAAGGGGAAGCACAGCTACTTTGGTTCTTTATTGATTTCGACTGTTCTCTTTCTTCTGTTAAAAAAGCGACCGTGTTTCGTAAAAGTGACATTCTTGGTATTGATGGTTCTATATGCGCGCTTCACTTTCATTACTTGTATAGCACACGTAATTCAATTGCAAGCACATTTTGTAATAAAGTGCTTCCGTATTTAATTGTGCTGGCTGACCTGCTGGAATAAACCCAGTGCTGAGGGTAGCTGGTGTAACAGGAGAACTTGCTTTCTTTGAGGCTCTTCTTCAAGTCAGATATGATGGTGTCAGGTTGCCAGGACTACTGACCCATGTAGCTCTCATCTGGGCCTGTCTTTCCCTCGGCAAGGTTGCCATTCAAAGTGTCACATATGGACTCAGAAGTAAAAGGGAACAGTAGGTGGTTTGAGTAGCAAGTATGTGGCTAATCTAGTTTTTCTTGTCCTGCTTGTGCTCATGTAATATTATATGCACTGTATTCATCTGCATGATGCCTGAGTCGGAGATGACTTCCATTATAAGGGTTACAGTAAGCGTGCTCTCCATCGTTCCGTATATTCACAAACTGAATCAAAATCCTTGCCTTCCACAAAAATAGAGCAGTGTTTTGTGAGTGTTGCATTTATGTCTTTCTGAGTTCTGTTTCTAAATGACACTTCAGCCTTGAAACGCTTCGTTAAAGCAATTAACAAGGAGAATGATTGGGGTCTTATTCATGTTACATTACTGCTCAAAAATAAAATGCCACCTTCCTTAACCGGTGATGAATAGGAATGCAACAGTTTTTTTGTAATCCTCTCTTTTGGTTTCTTTTCCACTTATCAGTATAATAAGTAACAAACCATCCTGTTTTCAACTCGACGAATCATTTACGAATAAATTCTCATTTACAGTGACCAGGCCAAGAGCTTTACACAGAATCGTTGCACAGAAAACTGCAGAAATGAAGAGGGACAATCAATAAATACCTCACATGCATAACCACATAACAGGATTCCACAGTATTGACAGTTACAAGTAACAGGCAGGCAAAATCATCCATCCATCCATTTTCTAATTGCTACACCCATTTAAGGTTAATGGGAGGCAAAGTAATATTAAATAATACGAAAGACGCTATATAAAATAAAATTAAGACTGCATATACAGTCTTAATGTGCAAGCTCCTTGGGTTATAAAGCAGGGGGGTTGTTTACTCGGAAGACTGTTCCAGTCAGTACCGGTAGTCAATTGAAAAGATTTTGTTCCAAAGTGAGTAGTTGCTCATGGGAGGTTCAGTTTGATCACGTTTGATCGAACTACTGCTTCTGAACATGCAGGTCATTAGAAAGAACTGCAAAAAAACAATCAAGATAAGGGTCTTTTTCTGATTAAAGATCTGTAAATTAACTTCAGCTCATGCAGCAGATATCTTGACATACCAGTCGGTCAGTGTGAAAAGATCACAAATTTGATGGTGACAGGATGGTCCAGGGGTAAATTTTGTGGCAGAATGGTACAGTATAGATATCAGGGCTCTCAAGAACAGCTTTAGAGGTCTTGTATCAACCTGATCACTGAAGCTCTAGCTGGGGTTTACAGATTACAGGGTTTGCCTGCAGGAGCACGTGAAACAAGATGTGTTCAAATAAAAGAAACAAAGTCTACACTTGCCTTCTGCTTGTTTTATTTTTGATTGATAAGTTTTGAAAGTTTAAACCTCCATCGAACCAAATCCCTGGATATTTATAAACCGTGACTTTTGCTTAAAGTAAAACCAAATGCCCGCAAGTAAATTCGCTATCAAATTAAAATATTGCAGTTCCGAAAAGCTTGCCGGGTTTAATCCAAGCAAAGCTGTACATTGATCATTCCTGATAAAAAGAAGCGTAACTGTAAGATGGTGTTGGCAGAAATGGTAGGTGGCCAAAAAAAGTGATCTGATCTTCTCTATTCAAGTTGCCGTGAGTGCTGTTACTTGGGAAATCATTTGAATATAATGTGAATAGAACTGGTGAGCTCACACAGCCCTGAGGGGCACCTGTCCTAATAAATCGAAATGTAGAGTCTTATTGAGTCTGACGTACTGTGCACAGTTCCTTGCAAATGAACAACACCATCTGCTGATAACAGGGCACCTGCCTCGGCTTGCTCTTCAAAAGATGGGGGCTGAGGTGGATTCAGATGCAGTCGCGTGTGTGGGCGTTCGGATCAGGAGGAGGCCCGGGTGTCACAATCGCACGGGCAGAACTCTTCTTTCTCAACAGTGTCCATCGAGGGTTCTCTCCCCCACCACCGCCGGCGCGTGGCCCCCAGCCTCTCGTGACACCCCGCTGACCCCCCCCACCCTCCTCCTACCCTCTCGGCTTTCTCTTGGCTGGCAGGTGGTGAGATTCTGCTGCCGGGCATGGCGTCGGGGGACCTGGTGCCGGGGCACGCCAAGCAGGCCCAGGCCAAGGAGAAGAGGCAGCCGCGGTCTGCGGAGGCGGAGGGCGAGGCCGAGGGCGAGTTTGTTTTCGAGGCCCACGAGGCGTGGAAGGAGTTCCACAGCTCGCTGCGCCAGTTCTACGAAGCCGGGGAGCTCTGCGACGTCACGCTCAAGGTGCTGGCCGCCTCGGCGTCTGTCCGTCTGTCTGCGCGTTGGTCAGGGGGGCTGCAGGGGTGGCTTCAGAGCGCTGCTCTGCCTCGGGGTTTGAACGGGGCGGAGCCGGCTCTTGGCCACGGGCGCCGCGAACAGGAGAATTAAAAAAAAAAAAATCTTTTTTTTAAGCTTTTGTTTCCAGATCTGCCCGGATGTGATGTACTCATGCATGAACTCTTACACAGCCCACAGCCTGGCAGCGTGTGAACCTGTCATCCTCGTTTTTGTTAAGTTTAAATGTTATGGAATCATTCAGAAGGGGACAGGACAGAGAGGATGTGGTTAATGATCCATCTGTTCTGCCTCCATTAACTGCATTATCAGTCCGTAAACAAGTGAGTGGTTTTCCTCAGGCTTCAGAATTCTGAAGGGTTCACCCTTAAACTTCTGAAAACTGTAGGTGACCATTTCAGACCAAAACAGGCCCTCGGTAAGTGGAACTTAAAACTAGAAGATTTAAATTGACAGTGTAGATAATAGTGCTGATGTTTTTGGTAAGGGTGAAATCATAAGTCCAAGTCAGTGTCATGGGTTTAAATTTGCCTTCTTGAAATCCCCTCGTCAGGGAGTATGTTGAAACCCAGAATAGATGTGCTGCGTGTTTTCTGAGAATTGCTATGAGTAACTGACCATTCTAATGAATTTATCCTGTTGAAATGAGGTGGCCGAGCTCACTGATTTGCTGAGTTTCTGGTCCGTCTCCTGTTTGTTTTGCTGCACTTGGTCCTTGTGAAACACTCTCTTCCATGTTTAGGGATGGTGTAGTATCACTTTAGGTAAACACTTTCAGTCCTGGAAAAAGTGAAACAGATCCTGAAAATGTATTGTAATTGGCTCAGCTTGGTGCTTGTAGGGGTTGTACTGTACTGCAAACTCAGGGCTAGCTGAAACTAGTTTCACTGGACTATCCAACAGGCAAGATGGGCCCAGTGGCCTCTTCTTGTTTGCGTCCTTATGTTCTTGTGCTCATTCTTATGTACAGATGGAGCCATTCAGAATACGTGCTGGTGTGTTAAAGTAACTGCACTGCACGTCGAGGTGTAGTTCGACAGGTGGCTCTTAATATGTAATATTAACAAGGAATCATGTGACTAAAGACACGTGGGTAACTGAAAGCAAAAATAAGTTTCTGAACGTCCTTAACAATGTTAATTTATGAATGTAAATCTAATAGATTTTCCTAGCTGGTTGTGGTAGAGTATTCCAATTGGAATTGGAAATGGGAATTTATAATTAATAATAATTAATAATTGCTTACAATTATATAGCGCTTTTTCTGGACACTCCACTCAAAGCGCTTTACAGGTAATGGGGACTCCCCTCCACCACCACCAACGTGCAGCCCCACCTGGATGATGCGCTGGCAGCCATAGTGCGCCAGAACGCTCACCACACATCACCGTGGGGAGGAGAGCAGAGTAATGAAGCCAATTCATAGAGGGGGATTATTAGGAGGCCATGATTGGTAAGGGCCAATGGGAAATTTGGCCAGGACGCTGGGGTTACACCCCTACTCTTTTCGAGAAGCGCCCTGGGATTTTTAATGACCACAGAGAGTCAGGACCTCGGTTTAACGTCTCATCCGAAGGACGGCGCCTGTTTTACAGTATAGTGTCCCCATCACTATACTGGGGCATTAGGACCCACATGGACCGCAGGGTGAGCGCCCCCTGCTGGCCCCACTAACACCTCTTCCAGCAGCAACCTTAGTTTTTCCCAATTTGGACAGATTTGGTTCAGTGGTCGCGTTGTCCTCTGTGAGCTAGACGGTCCTGGGTTTGCTCCCTGGCCAATGTGCCAGCTGTACTTTTAAGAAATAAAGACTTTCTGTAATATTTTAATCAAATAAGATGTGTATAGTATTTTTATGCTGTATTCATAAAAATAAATATGCTATAAATATACTATTTATGCCATATATTTTTATAGTATTTATATGTGAATATGATAATATTAATAATATATAAATGAACATGAAGGAGCAAATGTGTGAAAACTGACAATGGTGGGGAGTAAAACGCAGTTCTACCGGCCTAATCAGGCCAACAATCTCCAGCTGACAATAAACAGCGAACATTTAATGATCACTGATATTATGAAACCAAATCGAAAATGTGTTTGCATCTCCCTTAAATCAGCCTTTCTTCTTCGATCGGTGTCATGGAAGTATTAACGATGCATTCAAGACACATGTGAGTGCGCAGTGCACAGCACACAGAAAGAAACAGCCTGCTGTTGTTAGCTCATCGTTTGTGAATGAGTTTCATTCTTTTTGCGGAACTGTTTGGCACTGTGGGTTTTAGAGAGAATTGCATAATTGAGACAGGTCTGTGCAGGAAGGTGCTGAAAGTGCTTGCTAATCAACCTAGGGGAGTTCTAACTCGGTTATTCCAGGCACTACTAGTATTCTCATATTGTTGGAAGTTTCCATACTATTCTACGTTATATGGCGGTATATGCCGCCTTATACTTTGAGCATTCTGAGCCTTATTTTAAATCTTTATTTCCTTTGCCAATTAAAACATGAACAGGCTGCGCAGTGGCCACAGCTTCTGCAGTGCCTGCAGTGGAGGAAGACTTTAAGTGGTGGTGGGGGGATGGGTGTTCATTTCTTCCTCAATCATAGCTTTGTTCTTACAAGCAAAAGCAACGTAGCGCTTCCAAATCTTTCTCACCGCTGCTCCGTCTCGCCGCCCCCTTCCTCGCCACAGGTGGGCAGCAAGCTGATACCGTGCCACAAGCTGGTCCTGGCCTGCGTGATCCCCTACTTCAAGGCCATGTTCCTGTCGGAGATGGCCGAGGCCAAGAAGGAGCTGATTGAGATCAAGGACTTTGACGGGGACGCCATCCAGGACCTGGTGAGGTTTGCCTACTCCTCCAGGCTGACCCTGACGGTGGACAACGTCCAGCCGGTGCTCTACGCTGCCTGTATCCTGCAGGTGGAGCTGGTGGCCCGGGCCTGCTGCGAGTACATGAAGGCCCACTTCCACCCGTCCAACTGCCTAGCGGTGCGCGCCTTTGCCGAGAGCCACAACCGGGTGGATCTCATGGACATGGCGGACCGGTACGCCTCCGAGCACTTCCGGGAGGTGGTGGAGTGCGAGGACTTCCCCTGCGTGTCCCCCCAGCACCTCCGCACGCTGCTGTCCTCCAGCGACCTCAGCATCGACTCCGAGGTCCAGGTCTACAACGCTGCTATCAAGTGGCTCCGGGCCAATCCCCAGCACCACGGCGCCTGGCTGGACGAGATTCTCTCCCAGGTAGCGCTCCTGTCCTCTCGGCGCCTTTCGTGCACTTCCTGTAGCTCCCCCGTTCAGGCTTTCCTTCTTAGTTACGCTGAGATGATCCCACTTGGATAACGGCGTAAGAACAGCTGCAAAGGAGAGGAGGCCGTTCTGCCCATCTGGCCAGTGGGGTAGTTAGTAGCTCGTTGCCCCAAGAAACTCATCCTGCTGTTTCCTGAAAGAAACCAGGGTTTCGACATGGCCCTGTACCTTATTCCATACTCTCACGGTGAAGAAGTGCCTCCCGTTCTCTGTCTTAAATGCACTTTGAACATAGCTTCCACCTGTGCCTTCTGGTTCCTGATTTACCATTCGTTCTTCTGGATTGACTTTGTCAACGCCCTTGAGAATTTCCAATAATTGTATCAGGTCCCCCCCCTTAGTCATCTTTGTTCAAAACGGAAAAATGTGGAGGTCCTCCAGCCTATCAGTGTTGTATAGATAGATTCGAGCTCTTTTCACATGATTGGGATATACTTTGTGAATGCAGTTCTCTGCTTTAGTTACACAGAGATGCACCAATATGGTTAAGAACATAAGAAGGATTTTAAACAAGAGGGGGCCATTTTGCCCATCTGCCCCGTTAGAGTTCATTACAATTAACTCATTAACTTCAGTGCCAGGTGAAGATTACTGGCCCTTTTGATACTCACTTTTTTCTTTTTTGTTTCTCAAGAGAAAACAAATTGTAGCCTAATGGGGTTTTGGTTTGCTGTCGCATATTGCAAGTAGTGGGGAGCAACCACCTCTCTCTCTCGTCGGCCCACCTAGGTGCGTCTGCCCCTGCTCCCTGTAGATTTCCTCATGGGCTCCGTGGCCAAAGAGGAGATGATCAAATGCAACCTGAAGTGCAGGGATTTGCTGGACGAAGCCAGGAACTACCACCTGCATCTCAGCAACAAGGTCGTGCCGGACTTCGAGTACTCCATTCGCACCACCCCCAGGAAGTACACTGCAGGTAGGGGGGCTGGGCTGGACACGGACTTGGAAATGGGGTCAAGTGCCGGATCTGTACCCCACAAGCATGTCATTGCAGGGAGGTAGGGGAGCCCCATCTTTGACCACCCACTCTACCTCATGACCTGCTTTGTGCTTGTGTACTTTGTGAAGAAAAGACTCAAATTACTAATCATGTACAGTTATTATTATATATAATATTCTATATTCTTATTAATTATTTATGTCTTATAGTTAGTCAGAACAATGAGAAGCACGATTCTCATTTCTTGTTAGAAAATCTTGCTTCAAATGACTAATTATCCTTGAATTAATTTGTATACTTTTATCCAAGTGTTTATACCCATTTATATAGCTCCAGTGTATTTTTACTGGAGCTATTTGGAAAGCAACCTCTGCTCCACACGGCTGCCTCACATTTAGAGGCTCTTTGAATGTGACTCTACTCCCCCAAGAGGCTGCAGTAGCTGTTAAACCAGTGTGTGGTTATGAACGTGCTTTTCTATCTCATCTGTGATGAACTGCCATGAATATCGTAAGCCCGAAGGTTTTTGTCAATTTTAATGTCGTGAAAGGGGTTCCCATAACAGATGGATTGTAGATCTAAAAGTTCAATGTTTGAAAAAACAATATTAATAAAACAGTAAACATACATTTTTAAAAAGCAGATATAAATTTATTAACCACCTCCCTGCTTATGTAAAAGTCTCCAACTTTGCTACACATAAAAAAACTGTTCACATTTCTAAGCAAATTACTCTGGACCGAATGTGTTTTGGAAGCTGGATAATGGGTAACGGTGTAAGACCGTTGGGTCCTTGCTGTGTCTGCAGCTGCATGATTAAGGAGGGACTGCGTGTTCTGTATGGGGATATAGGGAACTTGCTGGGGTTGAAGGAGCGTCGGAGCTGTGTGACAGGTTGACGAATGTGTCTGGCAGGTGTCCTGTTTTGTGTCGGGGGCAGAGGAGGCTCTGGGGATCCCTTCCGCAGCATCGAGTGCTACTCCATCAGCAGGAACAGCTGGTTCTTTGGGCCCGAGATGAACAGTCGCCGCAGGCATGTGGGCGTCATCTCGGTAGGAGGTGGGTGAATGTTGGACATTTAACTAGCAGAGCAGGGCCATCAAGAGGCAAGGCCAGCTCGGGCCACAGCAGAACCCTCCAGATTCGTAGGTTATTTCAAAGCTTTTTTTTTCTTCACACTTGTACATTTTTACATAAAAATAATTGTTTTATTAAGACCACTGCAATTATCAGAAGAAGATAAATGAAAGAATAATAAAAGAGTATTCTTATATTGAATCACTCTGTTAAGGTAACTATACGCGATATAGTTTTTTTTGTCTGACACTCTGGAACAAGTCCTCTAAGTTTTTACATGTAAAGGAGTGGAAATGTAATAATTGTTAGACAACATTTGAGATTTCTCAAAAATTGTTTGTGTTTAAAACAAGCCAAACAGAATCTTTAAATGGCAAGGATAAAGAGGTTTTGGGTGGCAAAATAAACTCTGAAAAGGCACCAGCTGCTTGTTGCACAAATTACTTTCTCTACTTTTTTTGGAACCACAGGAATGCCTTAAGAAGATCCTTTAATGCAGCGATTGGATGTTTAAAAGGCAGAAATTATTTTTAACAGTTCATTGTCATTTTAATTTTTCAATATTTTTAATTTGTTTGGTTACAATGTAGATCAGATGTTCCCCGCTGAAGTTCTGGGGGAGGGTGTATTCCTTTAGGATTTATAGGTTTGAGTATCACTTGGAATGGTGGAAGTGCCCATTGAACTGTTTCAATTAAACAAACTAGTTCAGATAGGTCGTCAAGCGTTGGGCTGGAATGAAATCCTGCAGAACTGTGCCCCTCTGTACCTGGATCGGAGAACACCGGGGGCAGATTGTCGAAAGTGTGGTCATGATCTTCATTTTCAGGAATTCCATTGAAAAGTTTTTGCGAATTCGTCCAGATTACAAATGTTGTGGTACTATAAAAATCCTTTCATTGTCTACCTCATTCATTAAATTATAGTGTTTTATTTAGGTTATCCACTGGAATTAGTATTTTTGTTATAAAAATGAACATCAGATATGTTTGCGGTATTGTTTTTTTATAGGGTGTGTTCTTCTCGTTACTTTATGAAGCATGCTGCTTCAGATTTGGCAGTAAAACAGGGTTTGCAGTTTATAGCCATCCATACACTTCCCTCTTCTTTGTGTTGGCACCAAAATTGCATTAACCTGCCAGCAACCCTACTCATAATCTGGGATTTAAAAATACAGCTGAAGAACTCTGGCAGTGGTCCCTTCAGTGGGTATTTTAAATCACTGTATATACTGATATTCCTGCTGGAATAATGGATGGGGCTGTGTTTTACTTTGCAAGAACAAAATAGAAATACTGTAGGTGAGTGTTGCTCCATGGAGACCGACAGAAGACGGGATATTATAGAATTTTAATGGCATTTATCCAGTTGCTGTCTTTTCCTGAAATTGCCAGGTGTTACATGAATTTGGACTCCAGGGGTAACAACAGCTCCAGAATTGTACCCTGCTAATTGTAAATTGTTTTTGTAGGTAAAGTTTATGCAGTAGGAGGACATGATGGAAGCGAACATTTAGGCAGCATGGAAATGTTTGACCCCCTCACGAACAAATGGATGATGAGAGCTTCAATGAACACAAAAAGGTAAGCCCTGATTTGCTGTGAAAGGGAAATGATGAAGGCTTTAAGCATACCGTGAACCTTCCATACTGTAAAAAAATAACACAAGTGACTATTCCTTCCCCCAAAAGAAGGCTCTCCAAGTATCGGAATTGCAAAAAAAACCAAATTGTTTCATTTGTCTGAATTCGGTTTTTACTTTAGACCAGAGGTTATCCCCTCTGATCCTTGTGGTCTGGCATCCAGCAAGATTTCTGCGTCTTCTAAAGTTGTAAAGTCACCCGTCACCTGGGAGACGTGCGAGATTGATCCAGTTGGGGTTTAGCTGAACCAGTATGTCACCGACTCCACAGCCCTTAAGTCTTTGGCGATTTTAAAGAGCCGTGGGAAAGCTGCTGGAAGCCCGGGGCCTGGAGTTGACCTCTTCCCTTGGCGTGTCCCCGGGCGAGCCGGTGGAGAGTCACGCCTCCCTCTCGTGCGCTCTGTCCACAGGAGAGGCATCGCCCTTGCGGCCCTGGGGGGGCCGATCTACGCCATCGGGGGCTTGGACGACAACTCGTGCTTTAACGACGTGGAGCGATACGACATCGAGTCAGACCGCTGGAGTGCTGTGGCCCCCATGATCACACCCAGGGGAGGGGTTGGCTCTGTGGCCCTAGGGGTAGGTGTCAGAACTGTGCTCTGTACCTCCCTAGATCTCTTCTTCCAGAAACTCAACACAGCCGCTCATCTGCACAGCTTCCTGCTACACAGTTTTCCATTCCTGATGAAAGAATACCTAATGGGAAATCCTGTGCCCCCAGTATGGATAGTTTTTGTTACAATACCATTTCATTAGAGCAAATATTTATTACCACTAATTGGTGTTAAATTGATATAATAAACATGGAAAATACTCAGGTTCTTAATATATAATACAGCATTCCTCTTTATATCGAATGAGGATAGTGTTATTTTTCCATACCAAAAATACAGGTTAGTAATCTTTTTGGTTTTAGATTTCTCTTTTAAAAATCATTGATAATGTTTAAATATGTTGTGCTTGTACAGGATCTTCCTCTGTAATGTTTATCATTCAAGTATATTAATCATCAGGTGTAAAACATGAATCATTTTCATTGCCAAGCAGACAGTTTCTAATCAAGTTTGGGACTGTGTGGAAAATACTTACCATGTTGTTCCAGCTAAGGAAATCCTCGTTTTGCTCTCCTGAACTATTACAGAATCCTTTATCGAAGCAAATCAGTTGTACTTTTTATGTAAGAGAACCAACATTTGGGGCTTCTTTTGAATCCAACTGTTATGGAATGTGGATTTCTTTTATTCTGTAAGGAATTTATTTTTGGCAATCCATATTAACTTTTTAAAAGGTTTAGAAACCCATCTGTTTTCTTTCATGAGCCGTGATTGCACTGGCCCGCCAGGAATATCTGTATTGTCCACCACTAGAGTATGCTGCTGTGCTGTCGAAATAGGCTGTCTGTTTTCTTGCAACTGAATCAGAATACACTTGTTGTAAACCTTTGTTCCTAACGCAACTTAGTCTTGTTTCGTTTATTAGTTCTCAGCTTTTACGAGTTGCTTGTGACCAGCATAATCTTCGGCAGTGAATGACTTACTAGGTTAAAAAAGCCAAGTGCAAAGTTTTGTTTCCATAGTTACTGATATGAAAAAGGACAATGCAATAATGTAGATTCTGCCTGAAATTGTTGCCATGAAAGTCTCTGTGAGGAAATATGGAAGACTGGGGCCCCGGGAGAAGATGTTAAAGTAACACTCTAGTCTGGTAACCAAATCCCTGGGTTTCTTAGGGCTTAGGGGCTGTTAAGCACTAAATCGGGAGTGTCTGTCTGTGCCACTTTTTTTCTGCTATATTTCCATAAAGGGAATCAAATTTACATAAAAAATCTTTGTATATGCAAAAAAGGTCAGACCAGTCCTTCACTGGTCACCCGTGCTCTCATTTGCCATTTTTGCATGTTGTACCTGTGAGATATGTACTAGGAAAACAATGTTATTATTTAGGTAAAGTTCAGAAAATGAGTTAAGCCATTCCTTTGGTCTTTACTTTGAATGTATGTATTGTACCTGCAGTATGAAACACGTGAATGGGTGGGTGACCATTATGACTAATTCAAAAGGGCCGAGAAGTCAAGTGGACATCCTGTATAGCAGTATCGCGTGATTCCCCTCGCCCTGCAGAATTTCACACTTTGAATTGTGAAATTCAAACTGTTGAATACCGCAGAAACTGTGGAATACCGCAGTTTCTCCAGCTGCCTGCAGTGCAGTTCAGGTTTGCTTTTTTGTGGATTGCACAGGGACTTTTAACTTGAACCTTCACCTTCAAAATGTGTGGCCGACACAGCTCAGTGTTGATGGACATCTCCATCAACCTCTTTAATTGGCACAAAAACCGGGTCAGTAATATTATTCCCACACCTAAAAAAGAGAATTAGGGGTGTACTGTAGGTTCTTTCATGAGCAGCCCTGTATCTCGTGTTGCAGTGCTGTTTGTTTGCACAGGAATGAGGAGCAGTGATGAACTGAATCTTGTGTTGAAGAAGTTCAAATAGGGAGCTGCGTCCAGCATGCGTTGGCCGCAAAGGAACAAGGAAAGGTTTATTCCACGCTGAAAAGAGCAGAAAAGAAACACGGTGTTTTGGCTGACACCTGAAGAAGGCTCCACGGCCGAAACATTGTGTTTTATTTTCCCCTCTTTTCTTCCGCTGTCCCCTTGAATCCTGTGTTTGTGTGCAGAACTATGTGTACGCAGTAGGAGGCAATGACGGCGTGACCTCCCTGTCCAGCGTGGAGCGCTACGACCCGCACCTCGACAAGTGGACCGAGGTCAAGGAGATGGGCCAGAGGCGGGCGGGCAACGGGGTCAGTGAGCTCAACGGCTGCCTCTACGTCGTGGGTGAGTGCCGATCCCGGCGGCGCCTCGCGGGCAGCGTCGGGTGTTGTGCGGGGCGGCCGAGGGCAAACGGGCAGCAGCTCGAAATTCACAAATAAGTCACCGGCAGTTCAATTCGATTTATTTTTGTATAGCGCCTTTCACAACCAGGTTGCCCCAAGGAATTCACAATTCACGGGGGGGGGGGGATGATTTTAGTGTTTAATGAGTATTACTAAAACCTCAGGGCTCTGCCTTCACAGTGCTGTTCCTTTATTTGGGTTGTTTCCGAACACTTGAGCACAATCTGAAGTCAGATTTAGCTGTCTCCCGGCATTCACTCTGTGGGACAGAAACGGTTTTAACCGAAAATCCCCTCAAGCTCTGGGCCTCTGTTGCATCCGCTTATGTTATGATGTTTGATGTGAGAAACGGGTCGGCGCACGACCGCCGAATCCCTGTTTCTGCTCCTTCCACGTGGGCAG